ATTGGGAATTGGGAATTGGGAATTGGGAATTGGGAATTGGGAATTGGGAATTGGGAATTTGGGAATTTGGAAACTTGAAAATTTGGGAACTTGAAAGTTTAGGAATTTAGAAACTTGGGAATTTTGAAATTTAGGAATTTGGGAATTTGGGAATTTGGGAATTTGGGAATTTGGGAATTTGGGAATTTGGGAATTTGGGAATTTGGGAATTTGGGAATTTGGGAATTTGGGAATTTGGGAATTTGGGAATTTGGGAATTTGGGAATTTGGGAATTTGGGAATTTGGGAATTTGGGAATTTGGGAATTTGAGAATTTGGGAATTTGGGAATTTGGAAACTTGAAAATTTGGGAATTTGAAAGTTTAGGAATTTAGAAACTTGGGAATTTTGAAATTTAGGACTTTGGGAATTTGGGAATTTGGGAATTTGGGAATTTGGGAATTTGGGAATTTGGGAATTTGGGAATTTGGGAATTTGGGAATTTGGGAATTTGGGAATTTGGGAATTTGGGAATTTGGGAATTTGGGAATTTGGGAATTTGGGAATTTGGGAATTTGGGAATTTGGGAATTTGGGAATTTGGGAATTTGGGAATTTGGGAATTTGGGAATTTGGGAATTTGGGAATTTGGGAATTTGGGAATTTGGGAATTTGGGAATTTGGGAATTTGGGAATTTGGGAATTTGGGAATTTGGGAATTTGGGAATTTGGGAATTTGGGAATTTGGGAATTTGGGAATTTGGGAATTTGGGAATTTGGGAATTTGGGAATTTGGGAATTTGGGAATTTGGGAATTTGGGAATTTGGGAATTTGGGAATTTGGGAATTTGGGAATTTGGGAATTTGGGAATTTGGGAATTTGGGAATTTGGTAATTTAGGAATTTGGAAACTTGGGAATTTGGAAATTTTGAAATTTAAACTTGAAAGATCTGATTTATTCCACAGATGCGTCAAACCTAACTACCCATTCAAAGCTACAATACGCAAATAAAGAAAGTTAAAGTACCATATTCATTTTGTATTTAGCAATCCTTAATGCAAAATAAAGATCTGTAAACCTAAACCAAAAATTCAAGTACTAAAAATATGAAAAAGGTTTATCACACAACTGCTAGTGCGTCACAAGTGTTTTTTCCAGTGTTACTAAGGGGTGAATGTGAATGTAGAATACATTTCTAAACATTCACGCTTCTCGGTTATACTTAACATTTACAGGGTGTGGCCTAACGGGTACAATCGAAAGGAGGTGATACTACATGTAAAAATAAGTCGAAAAAGAGAGTAACATTTCTTCGTTTATCGCTTCATTTTTGAGAGAATCAAGTTCGAAAATTCTATCCAGTACGTGTGCATTATACCATCTTTAGATTTGAATATATTTATAAATAAAAAATGTTAATGTTAATATTATTTATTGCGACCAATAGTTCTGGTACTGGTATTATGATAAGCACTAAGTGTTCGTATACTTGTTTTAGGATTATTAGCAACGGTATTAAGAACTTCTGTTTCTAAAGTTAGAGATCTTCTATTGCTACCAGACTTATGGTAATTGTGAAAAAACCACACTGAATTAATCTTTGCTCTGCCCTGTGCATCACTCTCCTGTCCGGATAGCGACGATTTGGAAATTGTTGCCTATATTCAGCCGCTGCTGTTGCATTTCCATGACAAGCTCCAAAGCTTTTATCATACCGACATATTCGCGGTTGCTATAAGTAGACATTGACATAGCTTGTCTGATCAAAACAGAATAAAAGTAGAAGAAAGCCGTACAATTGAAGAAAAGATGTAAACATTAAAAACGTCAGTATTAGAATGCAAAAGGAAACTTGTAGCAAACAATGACTTGGGGAGACAGTCCAGTGCACGTGTGGATAGAGTTTTCAAATTCGATTTTCTCGAAAACGAAGCGTTAAACGAAAAAATGTTATTCTTGTTTTTAGACTTATTTTAACATGGAGAATCACCCCCTGATCCGTCCGACCATACCCTGTAAAGATATAAATAAAAATAATCGCTCACCCATTTCGTCGATAATTGGTGCCATCCTGAGGGTGACTCCGACCAAGAGCAAAGACATTGCGAGAAGAAGGCAAGCGGTCGCGACGATCGTCCATCGAGCACGTGGAGGAAGTTCTTCAGGATCAACCAGCTCTTCTTGAGGAACTGCAGTGACCACTTTACGCCGTTTCCGTTTCCGCTTTCTGCGGGGTCGATGATACTTCTCCCGATGTGCTGCGATCTTCTCGGGACCGCTCAAGGTTTCCTCTTCTTCCAACTCGTCCGCTATGTTCAACGCCACATAGTCATCATCGTCGTAATGGATCTTTCTGCGAACATAAACATAAATTGTAACTAATGGGTCTACTAGGTATTTCACGTGAATTCGAATGTGTACTTATAATTTTGACCTACTGTATGGGTAGATCAAAAACGAGATATAGAGATTTTAACAAAGTGAAAGTACAAATTACGTAGGTCGTTATATAAACGCTCAAAACTGTTAGTCAAATTAAAAATATCTTTACAATTCCTTTACAATTTTATATAATTTTATTTAGTTTATGTTAAAGAAAAAAAGATCGTGTATTAAAAGCACTCTCCAAATTCTTGGAGAGCAATACAGTAATTAATCTTTAATAAATCCTGAAACGGATGCACTTAACGAAGGACTTACGACCTAAGGGAACTCTGCACTTTAGCGAAGTTTCGTTAATGACTATATATATCAAACCTCTACCCACTGCCCTAACCGATATTCGTCACCTAACCTCGACGTCAAAAGTAGTAATTATCGGTCTAATTATTGTTCGATAATGTTGATCGATCATAATTTGTTCGAACTAAAGGTTCTAATTACAGTTATAAGGTATCTGATTTCGACTTTGATTTTCGACGTAATTGAGGAATTCATTTACCTTAGTAATTCAATAAAAATTTTAAAAAACTAGCAAGTTATAATTGGTAACGAATGATATTGTTCTGTATACAAATTTTTATACAAAATTATATTTGACACATTGATACTTCAAAAATATTATATTGAATTAATACAACAATGAAATCATCTCCTTTTCTTCCAGATTAATAACTAATATCTTTCACTTTCAGCATTAACAATTCAGAAATAACGGAATGCAAATACTAACAGGTAAAATTGAGGGTCTAAATAAAAATAATTAAAACCAAAATCCAACTTTGGCACAAGTGGCTTGATCCAGATATGTGTCAGGCGAAGATAAAACGTTCAACTGACGCATTCATAATATAGGTCATGTTATAATTCTCAAGTATTTCTGTACAACACTAAACTAAACAAAGAAGGAAAGATATATGCATTCTTTTGCATCACGAAAAAATTTTCAATAGTATTACAGTATATTGCGCATTGCGGCAGTTACAATTAAATTTCACATTTACATGTAAAATTAAATTCAGCAAAATTTACATCATTATACAACTGTAAGCTCAAGGGTTACACGTTAATATTTGATACTAAGATTATACTGATAATATAGTAATAATAATTATATTAAAAATTATATTAATAATACATGTTAAAAGATTTCTTGAAACTTTAGTCAATTTAGTTCTTTGAAATGTTAGTTTGCTGCTTTAAAATGTAAATTGTCAATTAAAAATTTATCTTAAAAAATGTAAATTAGCGTCTAGAAATGTGGACTAGATATGAGAAAAATCCCATATTTTCCCGCTGGATTATCGCAACTAAAGCCCATGTCGCAAGAAAATATCAAGTTTCCAATATATTCAAATCATGAAGTTTCATTTTAAAATCGTAAAATCTCATTTTAATAATTTCGACTGAAATTAAGCTTACTATTTTCGGAATTACTATTACTCTTAACTTAACTATTACAAAAGTTATAAGAATTGTGAAGAAATATTAAAAAATTTCCAAGTTGTTAATGATATGACAGAGCGAGGAGTAACATTGATGGACAAATTTAATAAATATTTAACTAAACATAAAGATAAATTGCAATATTCATGAAAAGTAGTGCAACAATACCAAAATGAATATCCATCACGCAATAAGAATGATTACTTCTCAGAAAAACTCAAGGACTTAAATTAAATAGACAAAAATGTATTTAAATTATAAATTCGAGAGAATACCCACAATTGGTTAATATACAAGACATCTATTGACAAATAAATAGCTTTCAAAAAATAAAAAGGTGGTTAAAAAATTTAATCTTAAATTTTATTTTGAAAATTTCTAAATTACTTCGATCGATTTTTTAAATTCAAATTTTTGAGCTTAACTGTGAGAGGGTTTTTTACGCTATACTAACTTCTCAGAGGGCGAGGGCAAAAAGGATTTTATTGAGCCATCCTGATATACACATAAGGATACTAAATACATTAAATGTATTTGTATACTGATGCTATATTAAAAAACGTAATAACATGATGCTTTAAAGAAATAGTTAGAATGACAACAATAAAAGTTAACGATTATTGCATTTCAGAATAAAGAAACTGAAACGAGTAATTCACAAGTAGAAAATCTATGATAAAAGTACAATCGTGTGTGCTCGAAATTGCAGCGTCATTATGCATAATGCATCGTTAAGTCGATCAAAGAAGGAGGTACAATGATTCTCGTGACAATTGCGTAGCTAGAAGTCATGGAGTGTCTTTACTCCAATACATAAAACCACGTAATTTTCGTACGGTACTCAACAGCTACCCATAAGTAGTACAATCCAATATCAAGTCAGACTGTATTGATGCACGTAAAATGGCCATTATTCTGTTTGTATTTAACCTCAACAAAGAAGCGCATAAAGAAGGCAATAAAATCAAACTACACAGTGTTCTCCTTTGTTTCTACAGTACCCGAATAAATTTATTTAGGACGAACAACAATAATACATTTCAACGACTCTCTTTCATTCAAACACATAAATGTATAGAATGAAATATAAATATTTCACTGAGAATTTTTTTTCGGAGCAGTTTTCTTAGAGATATGAAAGAGTCATACTCCTTGCAGATACAATTATTTCATTTATATCGGCAGTTAATATTAGTGCTAATGATGAAGACAATTAAGTTTTATGAAAACATCATTCAAATATTTTCAAATTTCCGAACTTTTAAAATGAACTGTAAAATTTTCTAATTTAATAGTTTTGTAAATTCTAAGTTTCTAAATTTTTAAATCTTAAAACTCTTAAATTTCTAGTTTCCTAATTCCCCCATTTCCTGTTTTCCCAATTTCCCAGTTTCCCAGTTTCCCAAGTTCCCAGTTTCCCAATTTCCCAGTTTCCCAATTTCCCAACTTTCCCATTTTCCAATTTCCCAATTTCCCAACATATCAATTGCCCGATTTCTCAATTTTTCAATTTTCCAAATTCACAATTTCCCAATTTCCCGATTTCCCGATTTCCTAATTTCCTAATTTCCTAATTTCCCAAATTTCCAACATTCCAATTGCCTAATTTCCCATTCTCTCAATTTCCAATTTTCCAAATCCCAATTCCCAATCCCCAATGCCCCAATTTTCCAATTTATCAATTTACTAATTTCCGAATCCCCCAATCTTCCAATTTTCTAATTTTCTAATTTTCCAATTTCTAATTTTCCCCCAATTCCCAATTCCCAATTCCCAATTCCCAATTCCCAATTCCCAAATTCCCAAATTCCAAAATTTCTAAACTCCCAAATTTCTCAATTTCTCAAATTTCTCAAATTTTCAATTTCCCAATTATTCAATTTCTAAACGCCTAACCTCCAAATTCCGATTTCATAAAGTTAATAAATCTGCATATTCTCGAAACCGCAAAACTCCAAATCTCCATACTTCCAAGTTCACTTCTCTGTTTTTTGCTACCTCAAAGACGCAAAACGAATTTATACAACAAAGATGACGAAAAAGTGAATGCTTAGAAGCGCGATCACGTTTCTCCGTGATCATTTACGACGACCCACGTTTCATTATACATCCGAACAGGCTTTGTTCAGCAGACGATTCTAGTATGAAACCGTATTGGATGAACATCTAACGAAGAGACCAGCAACGTGCAACCACGCACTGGGGTGACCCAGTTTCACGGTATATTGCACTTACAGGAGAATAGAGTTCCTTTCTTTGCAAACACGCCCGCGAGTGTCTCTCCGTCATCGCACGAAAATACAACGTGGAAAGGCGTGCTTGTGGAAAGCGGAAATGAGCGACACGCACTGTGAAAGTTAATTCTGTTTAATGAAACCGTTCGTCCGATGCCGGTTTAGACTATCGACGATTAACCCTTCCGAGAGTAAATTATCCTTTCATAATAGCGAGTAGTAGTGGAAGCAATGTACAGTCCACATCGGATTAGGATTATTTTTCAGCATCTTACGCGTTCTCCGTAAAATAAGGCCTGTTCATTGTAATGATATACTAGGTACCATGATTACTACTGTACATAACATTAACACATGTTAATATCTTTGGTCACAGCTTTCGACATGCGCTGTATACATCATATGCTTCATATCTTCATTATTTTCCCAAATATCTGAATTCTTTTCAACTCAGATGATGCGGTTGGAGAGTTGTGAACTAGTCTTTTGAGCCTAACGTAAACGCTTCGACGGCCCTTAATCGCTCATTACACAATTTATTATCACGATAGTAACAAATTGCTATGTATATATCGTTATCAATGTATTTAGTAATAATTTGCATGACCTAAGAATTTTCCATATATGACATAATTATAGCCATAAAAGTGAAATTTTCGTACCTGGTCCTCATTTGATGGCCAAGGACTATTTTTAACCGACTTCGAAAAAGGAGGAGGTTACTCGATTCGATCAGTATATTTTTTTTTTTCTATGTATGTTCGCCGATTACGCCTAACTGGGTGGACCGATCGGAACGAAACCTTTTGCATCGGGTAGGCTCTGACTCTCCATTGGTACCATTATCAAAAAATTTTTCATTTTTTAATTGCAAAGTATTGTTATTGCAAAAAAACCGGCAACTTTTTTCTTTTTGTATGTATGTTCGCCGATTACGCCGAGCTGGGTGGACCGATCGGAACGAAATCTTTTGCATCTGGTGGGTTCTGACTCCCCATTGGTAGCATTATCAAAAATCGTTGACTGCACTATCGTTGTAATAGAGTAACTGTAATAATATATTAATGTATTCAACTTTTCAAATTTCTATATTTCTTTATTTCGACATCTGTAAATTTCCACATACTTCAACTACCATCTTTCCACATTTCTAAATTGGAAAATATGAAAACTGCAAAGTGTAGTACTTTGGAACCTTGAAAATTAAAAAATTCCTATATTTTCGAATTTCTTT